GAGCGCGGACGGAAGCGGCCGAGATCTCGCTTTAACAATGGGGTGCGAGGGAGGCGGGGGGAGGACCCGCCCTGCCCGTGCCTGGGAGCGCGGCGTCTGTCCTGCCCGCAGCGCCCGGCCCAGCCACAGGTGTCCGGCCAGGCAGCGCGCACGTGGGGGGCCCGGATTCTCTGCGGGGCCAGTTCGAGCCGTAAGCATCGAGCGCTCCGGCCGCTGCGCTGGGCGAGGGAGCGTGAGGAGCCCGCTGTGCCTTGCAGTAACTAGAGCCCGCTCCCCCCCCGCTGAGATGCACAGTTCTCACCTAGCCGGAGATCAGGCACCGTGGTTCTTGAAACAAGGCGAGTGCCACCCACTCGAGGGTTTGGCTAACCATCCGCACAGCTCCGAGACTAGCCTCTCTCAGCCCCTCCCAAGCTCTTCCCTCAGCCAGGAGCCCTGAAAAACGCAGATGGGAAGGTATCAAGCGCCTGTGCACAGCACCTTGTACAATATGAACTTGTGGTTCCTCAGATCAAATAGTGGAAGAAAGTAGTCACAACCGTATATACCAAAGGATACAATTAAAAAAAAGAACAAATATGAAAAGGACAAATCACATTGCAGAACAGGAGGGGGATGCGGTGGGGGGGAGGGGGAAGGAAGGTAAGTGTCTGTGAATTGATGATATTAGAGATGGGGAGAGTGGGATGTTTGTGAGTTAATGGTATTAGAGGTGATAATTGGGGAAGCTATCTTGGTAATGGGTAAGATAGCTTGAGTGTTTGTTCATTCCTTTTTGGAGAGTGTCGAATTTTAACATGAATGACAGTTCAGAGGATTCCTTTTCAAGTGCAGATGTAAAAGGTCTTTGTAGCAGAATGCAGGTGGTTAAGTCATTGAGAGAGTGTCCTTTCTGGTTGAAATGGCAAGAAACTGTTTTTTCTTTGTGATCTTGTCTGATATCTGTTTTGTGGGCATTAATCCTTTGGCGAAGTGTCTGAGATGTTTGTCCAATGTACATAGCAGACGGACACTTTCGGCACATGATAGCATAAATTATATTTCTGGATGCGCAGGAATATGTGTTCTTGATCTTATAACTCACTAGGTTAGGTCCACATATTCACTCGGCTGATACCATTATTGGACCTAACCAACTTATTTTAGCAGGTGCAGGCATATAGGAACGATGGGACTGGGGAATGTGGGAGCATGATATACAAGTTTGTGTGCCTAACAAAAGAAATCCAGATACTGTTACCTGGGACTGAGGAAGTTGTCATCCATCTCTTTCCTATCTTGTTCAGATTCCATTGCTAATTTGTTCTTCTGGTTAATAAAACTCTTAATGGATTTTAAAATGGAAACTTTTGGAGAGTGGAGGTTCACTGTGTATTTAGCACAATAGAGCCCTAGACCCTGACTTGAGCCTCTAGGCATTCCTACAATATAAATAATAGATTTAGACCATGGTTCAACTTTAACCTCATGTACATCTATTCCCTGCTCTCCTCTCCAGTGTTAGCACTCTGTCACCTGCCCATCAGTCAATGGCCCTCTGGTCATTTAATTCATTTCTAACTTTCACACTCAGTGATAGTATTTTTGAAGGGCATATGTGAGGAAAAAAGTTCTCACTTCTCAGACTAGAATGATTCCTGTTACATTTTTCACAGCAAAGCAATAGTTAAAATCATACTATTTAATCCTCTGGTATAATTTGGAAAAGTTTTAATAAGCTGGATAGTAACTACAGAAGAGTTAATTCTGCACCAGCACGGACATTATTTATCATTGTATGCACTCAACAATATATATGTACTATAGTTTGAGATTTTTCTAATTACCATTTACCAATGACATTTTCATTAAAAAATAATTTTGTTTAAATCCTCTCAAAAAAGTTGATAGTTCTCAGGATTAGGTTTTTTTGATCTGAGGTTTTGTTTTGTTTGGAAAGGGGATTATTCCAAAGTTCATAGAGCTACCAATTTTGAAAGTGATTGAAATTTAAAAACAGTAAAATTAACACACTCTCAGTTGAGTTCTTTATTTATGTGGCAGATATTGCTTCCACTGTGTAACACGCCTCCTTACAGTACACAAAGAGAAAGATGCATCCAACCCAATACCAATTCTCCAATTGCCCAAACCCCCCAGAATTTCTAAAAACAGACCTCTCAAAGTGTTCTTTGTAGTTTATTGCATACACTATTTTCTACCCTTTCTGGGCTGTAGCTGCATCAGCCACTGTTGGATGTTTTTGCTTCTCAAAAAATGTTGGATTTTTTTAAATGCCAAAAAAGTCTCTGTGACCCTTGCAGTCTGTTATTTATTAACAGAAGTTTTGTGGTGAGGTTGGTTTTAGTGCCCAATGCAAAAATGCTGACTATCAGATGTTTGCATCTTAATAAGGGTGTCTGTGCTGGTGAGCGTTCAGGGATAAAGTCCTAAATAGTTTTAAGTATCACACTGCATGTTTTCCTCAGCCACAATTGGGAGAAACTTACTAAGTAGGAAAACATTTTCAGAGCAACCCTTCCCTTCTAAAATCTTAAGCATTTATTTTCAAGGCCTAGAAATGCTCTTTTAATAGTTAAGTTTAAAATGGTGTGTAGGCAGAGGCTCCTAAGACCTAAAATGTGGATTTTACATAATTATACTCAGTAAGAGTTTCTTCTCCTCAGTTAAGGATTTGCAAGGCTGATTTTGACTTTCCTTGTGAATCATAGAATACTAGGACTGGAAGGGACCTCGAGAGGTCATCGAATCCAGTCCCCTTCCCTCATGGCAGGACCACGTACTGTCTATACAATCCCTGATAGACATTTATCTAACCTACTCTTAAATATCTCCAGAGATGGGAGATTCCACAACCTCCCTGGGCAACTTATTCCAGGGTTTGACCACCCGGACAGGAACTTTTTCCTAATATCCAACCTAAACCTCCCTTGCTGCAGTTTAAGCCCATTGCTTCTTGTTCTATCCTCAGAGGCCAAGATGAAGAAGTTTTCTCCCTCTTCCTTATTACACCCTTTTAGATACCTGAAAACTGCTATCATGTCCCCCCCTCAATCTTCTCTTTTCTAAATTGAACAAACCCAATTCTTTCAGCCTTCCTTCATAGGTCGTGTTCTCTAGACCTTTAATCATTCTTGTTGTTCTCCTCTTGCTCCTCTCCAATTTCTCCACATCTTTCTTGAAATGGACACAATACTCCAACCAGTGCCTAACCAGTGCAGAGGAGAGCGGAAGAATGACTTCAAAAAACAATAAACACTCATGTTATAATTAAATATGTATTGTTAAACACAATGCAGGACAATGTAGCACTTTAAAGACTAACAAGATGGTTTATTAGATGATGAGCTTTCGTGGGCCAGACCCACTTCCTCAGATCAAATAGTGGAAGAAAATAGTCACAACCATATATACCAAAGGATACAATTAAAAAAAATGAACACATATGAAAAGGACAAATCACATTGCAGAACAGGAGGGAGATGCGGGGGAGGGGGGGAGGAAGGAAGGTAAGTGTCTGTGAATTGATGATATTAGAGGTGGGGAGAGTGGGATGTTTGTGAGTTAATGGTATTAGAGGTGATAATTGGGGAAGCTATCTTGGTAATGGGTAAGATAGCTTGAGTGTTTGTTCATTCCTTTTTGGAGAGTGTCGAATTTTAACATGAATGACAGTTCAGAGGATTCCCTTTCAAGTGCAACCATTATTGGACCTAACCAAGTGAATTATAAGATCAAGAACACATATTCCTGCGCATCCAGAAATATAATCTATGCTATCATGTGCTGAAAGTGTCCGTCTGCTATGTACATTGGACGAACATCTCAGACACTTCGCCAAAGAATTAATGCCCACAAAACAGATATCAGACAAGATCACAAAGAAAAAACAGTTTCTTGCCATTTTAACCAGAAAGGACACTCTCTCAATGACTTAACCACCTGCATTCTGCTACAAAGACCTTTTACATCTGCACTTGAAAGGGAATCCTCTGAACTGTCATTCATGTTAAAATTCGACACTCTCCAAAAAGGAATCCCAATTATCACCTCTAATACCATTAGTTCACAGACATCTACCTTCCCCACCTCTAATATCATTAACTCACAGACATTTACCTTCCTCTCCTCTCCCCTGCATCCTCCTTCTGTTCTGAAATGTGATTTGTCCTTTTCATATGTGTTCATTTTTTTTAATTGTATCCTTTGGTATATATGGTTGTGACTATTTTCTTCCACTATTTGATCTGAGGAAGTGGGTCTGGCCCACGAAAGCTCATCATCTAATAAACCATCTTGTTAGTCTTTAAAGTGCTACATTGTCCTGCATTTTGCTTCAGCTACCCCAGACTAACATGGCTACATTTCTATCATTGTTAAATCCAGTGTGCTTTTTTGAAAGTTGGGAAAATTTAGTATGTATGGTGTGAAATTAAGCATCTTTCTATTTTAAAAGTAGATAAGTTGTCTAATGTTTCTGTGTCCTAGCAGCCCAAACAAATTTCCCGATCCCCCAAAATTACACACACGTGTAGCTTTTAACATAGACTTATGTAATGAGGCAGATTTCAAGGATAAAATAGTAATATTAAAGAAATTTACTTTATTATCCTAATTAAGCAAGGCCCTATATTCAACTTCATGGCATATCTCTATTTGTCTGCTACGCACAACTTCCCAAACCCAGTGAAAATCCTCATTGCTCCCACAAATCTTTCCCACTAAGATGTACCCTTCCTGTACCCTATCACCTTTAGGAAACTTTTGCTAACCCCACCATTACCACCACCTCTGTCACACACATTTACTATCACTGTTCTACTTTATTTCCATGGTCCACTCCACCCACCTTACCTAACCCTCCTATGAAATACCCACTCTCTCAGGGTTCATCTCCCTGCCACTTCTCCTCAGCCTCACTTCACCTAATTAAATTATCCTACTATCTTCCTTCCCTGCTGCCTCTTCCCCTTTGAAAATCCTCCTGCTGATGTTCTCTGTGTTCCTCCCCCAGGTATAACCAGTACAGCTTGTTTCCACACTACCCCTATGAAACACCCTACATAACAATCGACAGTGAAATCACTTCAAACCCATCACACTGAATCTACCATCCCACCACTTCACATTTCCTTTGCTGAGTACTCCTCAAGTCCATTACATCAGACCACTCCAGGGTGTGTCTAGACTACACCTCTGTCGACAAAGAGATGTAGATTAGGCACATCGAAATTGCTAATGAAGCTGGGATTTAAATATCCCATGCCTCATTAGGATAAACATGGCCACCACTTTTTTTCTACATGGGTTTTTTTTTTTTTAAAAAAAGGCAGTCTAGACGCAGATCAGTCGAAAATAAAGCCTTTTTCGACAGATCCTGTAAACCTCATTTTTTGAGGAATACAGGATCTGTCAAAAAAGGCTTTATTTTCGACAGATCCACATCTAGACTGCCGGGGCAGGAGGTTGAAAAAAACTCAATTTCGAAAAAAAGCGGCAGCCATGTTTATGCTAATGAGGTGTGGGATATTTAAATCCCAGTTTCATTAGCAATTTCAACATGTTTGATTTGCATCCCTCTGTCAACAGAGATATACAGTCTAGATGTAGCCCCAAGATGCCCACTGTCTGAGCATTCTCCTACTGCCAGTAAGTCACCGTCACTATCTCATCTCAGGCCACATCTAGTAACAACCTTGCCTCAGATCATCACCACTTGATGAAATTTCATCAACCTCCCTAGTGAAATACTTCCTCCTTCAGTCCTTGCCCATGAAATTCAAACCCACTGTATCAATTCTTCTTCCCCATCCATCCTTGTAAAATACCCCCACACTGCACCTCATCCTCCCACAAAATCTCAGTATTGCCTCACCCATTCATGCTGCTGCCTCCACACCTCAGCTAAAATCCTACCCTTGCCATGCCTCCACACTGCTACTTCTCTTTCTCTATCTCAGGCTCCTCTTGCTAATGTTCATCCACTCCTGCTCCTCATGGTGATACTTATCTTCTCCTGCACTTCAAGCCCCTCACCCTGCCTCACTAAGGTATACACGAGACTTTAACCTGGTGTGATGTGTTTCCAAAATGCTCATTTATGCCCTCCTCTTCTGTCTCAGTTCTGTTACTCAGAATTACCTTTCTTTGACTGTAACATAAGTCAGAAGAATTTCAAAACTTGAGGCCTTATCCATAGAACTTGAGTATTTCCCCTTGCACTCTGACTTTAGTGGGACTCTTCGTATGTGCAGGGATTTATTGTGTAGTCTTGGGGCTTGAAGAGTAACAATGGAGCAATCTTCTATGGGAGAAAGTTGACCTAAGATATACAACTCCACTTAGTAAAGCTGGAGTTAACATTCTTTAAGCTGACATATCCACTGCGGAAGGTAGACAAGAGAAACTTTCCCATCAACTT